AATGGAACAATTAAGAGACTATAATTTATGGACAAATAAAAGAATAAATTGAAACGAAGGCAAATGTAAGACATTGTCCAATTTAAAAGAGGAATTAAGACAAAGTGAACTAGAATGAGTGACTAGAACATAATTTCCATTTGGGAGTTTCACTAGTGATCCTATATGTGGTTTCTGGTTGGATAAAATATTAAATGAGTTGGAGATATGGTTAATGCATCCATAATCAATAATCCAATGTGCATTAAATTTAGAAAATGAGACAAAATACCTACCATGTTGACTAAGGGATTGGACTTATTTGAGGTGGTCGGCTGAATAAGAGATAGAAGTTGTTTGATTTGATCCTAAGTGAAAGGAGAGCCATGGTCTGAGTCAAATGCCCTTTGATCAACACTACAACCATGGGTTTGGTGGAAGCAATTTATATATGGGAACCCGATATCTGTCTATTGCCAGGATTTTGCTTTGATTGAAAATTGTCTTAATTTCCTAAGTCTTTGAATTCTCATTGTGGTTGATAATTTGGATTTTCTGGCTTCCTTCTACATCTAGATTCAGAGTGTCCGTCAAGACCACAATAGTTACAATGATAGAACGGCCTACTAGATTTATTTTGATTAGGACGAGAATTGACTTACAATCCATATGTACGAGAAACAACCATTGCCAATTGCTTTGGGTAAGGAGAAGAAACCAATGGTTGTATGGATTTTTGTCTTTCTTCTTGTAGTACTAAAGATAGTGTCTTTGTTACGATGGGCAAAGGGTTCATTAATAAAATTTGACTCCTCAATTTTGTATAGGAATCATTAAGCTCTATGAGGAATTGCATCAATTGACTTTGTTGCTCAAGTGCATGGAATTTGCTCATTGCTCCACAACTACAAATTGGATAGGCTTTGTTAGTAGCCAACTTGTCCTAAAGAGCTTTCAAACCAGTGTGGTAGATGGTAACAAAATTATTCCATTGTAAGTGGTTGATAATAGATCTTTCTATCTCATAGATGAAAGGAGCATTTTGTTTGGAAAAGTGATACTTCAAATCTACTCATACAATGTGGGCATTTTTCATGAAAATAACACTATTAGCAATCTCCTTGGATAGCAAATTGAGAAGCCAAGAAAGAACCATGTTGTTGCACTGACTCCAAAGTGCATAATTTCGTTATGTTGTTGTGGGTTCTAAAATGGTGCCATTGAGAAAACCCAACTTATTATTTGCTTCAAAAGCCACGGTGATGGCACGACTCTGTGTGAGATAATTGTCGCCTAGTAAGGGTTGAGAAACTAAGACAATACCTAGATTATCAGAGTGATGCAAGTAGAATGATGAGGATACATCAGGACCATTATCTTTGAGTAGGATGGTGCCACCGGTAGATATGATGATGATGATGATGGTAGAGAAAAAACAATATAGGGTTGTGTTGGAGGATGATACCCTTGCTTTGATACCATGTGAACCAATGAATATGAAGATTTCTCTATATTATTTAATTTATGTGGATGGATACATATATATACATGGAAAAGACAAATTAAATCAAGCCTAAACTTAAGCCTAAAGAAAAGGAAAAGAAAAGGTAATTACATATTGTCTACAATATATTTGGGATTTGATATTAAATTCTTTATAGTGTTAAAGTGCAATATATATGTAGAAGGCCTATGAACTTAATAGGCATATATCTTTTGGGTTCAATATGACATTTTCTCATATGTGTTTGTGCTCTTGCTTGTTAGACCCTCCCAACAATAAAGTAAGGATTCATTTATACAAAATCTTTACCATTTATCTCTCTACTTTTTGAATAGTTGAAATTAATCACAACTTTTTAATAAAAGAAAATTATTTTTAAGAAAAATAATAAAAAAATGAATAAATTTAAGTCGAGATCCACTTATACATAAATTTTACACTTCACACTTACAAAATTTTATCATTTATCTCTCTTCTTTTAATAACTAAGATTTATCAATAGGCTTGTGTCAGCTTTCATCTTGTTTCATCTATGGTCGTAGGACATGACAAAGGAATGGGCTTTACTTAGGAAGAGTCAGACTCTTCGCTGGGGCAAACCCATTTGTTTGAGTATGATGATGGAATTGTTTCATTGGTGGAAGGCCACGATCCACCTGTTGATTAAGTTTCTTGTTGATGAGATGACATTCAGAGAATTGTGGACTATTGTTTGTCAAAATCCCTACTGTCCCTCGAAATTAACATAAGAGTTAGGAATGTTCAGTTGCTCTGAATGCTCATGGTAGCGTTCTTCTTACTCTTGTAATCTTTTACACATGCAAGTTTATGTTAGAATTTCCACACTCCCCTCATATGATGAATTGGGAAGATCAGAGATTGATGGGAATTCATGAATAAAACTTAATATAAATAAACAAAAGATTCAACCTAAAAAATTAGTTTATTAGATTTATGAGACTCCATTCTATGTATCTTTAATTTATTTCCATCCTAACATATCAATGTAGGACTTTATTTATTTATTTACTTTAATAACATGGGGTTTCAAATCTTTAATTAACTAATTTTATGGTACTTGTAAAACCACCCCATCCACAAATACTAGGTAAGATTACACTTTCAAAAATGATAAATATGACCAAATGAAATAGTTTGTCACAACCCGGCCCATGCCTAGAGCTCCTTAAAGGGGCCTAAGTTACATGCATGAAAAATGAGTCAAAACATTTAAATTAATTTAAGTACCTTAAATGTGCACAAGACTTAAAAATGGCACCTAAGGTTGGAATTATTACAATTTGCACTCAAATGACATTGGACGGATTCAAAATTGTATTTATAATAGGATTCAAATGACTTCTTAATCATTTTAGTCAATCCCAATAAGTTAAAAATTAAATGGCCAGCTCGCTACTCCTTTGGACTTTCACAAACACATTTGAACTTTCCAACAATCTCCCCTCTTCTACTTATGAGTCTCAACATCAACTCTTAATCGTCAGCTGCTTCTTGAGGTCTGTATATAAGGCGAGTAACCATCTACATATTTAACGTATATATTTCTTTATTATTTTTTCAATGTGAGATTTTCTTAATTAACATGATCTCTTTAGGTATAGGCTCACATCACAAGAAAATGGGTATTTTGTGATGGTAGAATTGGTCACAAAAACCAAATTTTAGACACAAATTTAATTTATGACAAAAAATGAGTTTTGTAACCAATTCTCTGTCGCAAAATATCCATTTTCTTGTAGTATCAGTCTTAATTTTGAGTCATGTTATGTGTATTTTAAGTTAGGACTTAAGATCATCACCCTAGTAGAGCTGGAATTTCTCCACCACTTATAAGATTTGCTAATAATCTATATTTATAATATATATTAATTAGCTAGTAGTGTTCGGTTGCCCAAAGAATAATAAGTCAATATTTCACTGCTAAAAGAAGTCCTCATGTGCTGAAAATGAGCTCTATTCTTCGTGGAGTTTGCTCTGAAGTATACTGCGTAGAATGAGATCAGTTGGCTCTCTCTACAGGAAGTCGACCCTCCTCTATTGGACTTTCATCCTTGCGCTTTCTGTTTCTCTGAGTTAGCTCTCTCCAAATGAAAGTAGATTCTAACTATGAAATTCAAGAAATTTAACGAAAATTTCTCAACAAGGAGTTATTCTTATCAGTTCTTACATAATAATAATATTTTAATTATGTCAAATTGGAGACCGTTCATGTTGTTGAGTTAAAGGAATATTTATTTTTCCTTTTTCTTTGTATTTTTTGTTTCTTGAACAGGGGAAGGAGGATAATTTAGCTACCACTAGCCAGTGTGGCTGATGACACTGGTGCGGGATTAAGTACTAATATTTCAAAGGTGAATAATTACAAGTTTCATATAAACAATTGCTTCAATTCATATCAATGGATCTAAGAGCATGAAATTGGGGTCAGCGTATCCTGCAGGATATGCGTTAATGTAGTAGCCTTTCAAAGCTTTTGTTCAAGAATGACTGCAAATCTGCTTTACTTTTGCAAAAGGAAAGATTAGGCACCTCACTTTTCTAAATCAGCCTCAGAATTTCAGAACTGCTTGAAATAATTGATAACTTAATCCTCCGAGGACCTTTTTTCAATGTTGTTGTTGTTGATGTTGTTATTATTATTATTATTATTTTCCAATGAAGTTTTAATTAATTCAAATTATAAAGAATTTAAAATTTCGATTTAAAAATCTTTAATTTAAATTTTAAGACAAATAGTGAGCTCTTGCAGAGAATAGAGGAGATAGTTCTTGCTAAAATGCATTTACAAAATTAAGCACGATTTAAATTAACGTGAGTCCTTTGATTTAGCAGTTAGGCAATATATACAATAATTAGCTTTCCCAAACCATGTTAAGTTTACCTTTCTAGTCTTGTTAAAATCAAGCTATACAAGCTGGAACTAAAATATTTGTCAAAAACTCTTTCTTGATCTCACAAAAAATCTAAACATGATCAACAAATACTAATTAATAGAAGAGTTTTTTTAACCTATGTTCTAAGTGTAGGTTAAACGTGTATTTATTGAATATTTTCATTATTAATTTATATAAAAAAATTATAAAAGTAAATTTTATTTTAAACACTAATGCCATGTAAAATGATTTAATTAAACAATTGATAAAACTTTATATTAACTTTTTTTAAAGGCAGTGATATAAGAATAACCTTTTTGTAACATCTTTTTATACAATTTTTACATGTCATTAAAAGAGTAAATATATTCAATATCACGAGTCTTAAATGAATAAAAAGAGCTAATCATTCAAATGATACGTAGGGTTGTACATAAAGGTGTTACAAAAAAAGTTATTGTTAAATTATTTTCTTTTTTTTT